GGCGACCTTTCTCTCGATTCACGGTGCATTTCCATCGACACGGTCCTTGACCCTCAAACCCTAGAGCGTCTCCCTTACTCCGTCTCCACAACCCCCGATCGAATCCGAGGCACTGAGGTAGTCGTAGTCCTCTCTGGTCAGTCTTCGGTGCTACTCGTCTACTCCACTTCGCCTTCAGCCTCCGCACTCCAGTGGCTATCTCCGCTCCAAACTTTCTCCAAAACCCATCCTTATGTCTACACTCAGTGCCAAGCCATTCACGCCAGATCCATTTTCCCTTGCCAGGACACTCCTGCGGCGAGAATCCGCTACGACGTCGTCATGAACATACCGACTTCTCTCTCCGCCGTCATGTCGGCCCGTCACGTCCGTCGTAGGATTCCTCATCCCGAAGAGGCTAAACATCTCGAGGCTGGGTCACTGGGTTCGTCGCTGTGGGACGGCGAGGATAGAGTCGTGGAAGAGTTCGCGATGGAGCAGCCTATACCGCCGTATCTTTTTGCGTTCGCGGTTGGTGAGTTAGGGTTTCGGGAAGTTGGACCTAGGACTCGGGTTTACGGTGAGTCTGCCGCTGTGGAAGTTCTAGATGCGGCTGCTCTGGAGTTTGCAGGAACGGAGGAGATGATCAAGCAAGGGGAGATGTTGTTCGGCGATTACGAGTGGGAACGATTTGATTTACTGGTGCTTCCTCCGAGTTTTCCTTATGGAGGAATGGAGAATCCAAGGATGGTTTTCTTGACGCCTACTGTAATCAAAGGAGACGCCACTGGAGCTCAAGTTGTAGCACACGAGCTCGCACATAGCTGGACTGGGAATTTGATCACAAACATCAACAATGAACATTTCTGGTTGAATGAGGTATTTTTCTTAATTCCACTGCTCTTGTGATTGCTCCTTTTGATTACCTGAGTTTCTGCTCCCAGATAGAAAGATGCGTTAGCTTTGAATTGTCCTGTGCTTTTGTGATAAGACCCGTGGTTGAAGCTGCAATTAGAAAAACAAAAGCTTAAGAGTTTGGTTTTAAGGGATATGGATTGTTAATGTGTAACGGTGTATATGTTTTTAGAGTTCGCCTTGTTGATGGGAAGAAACTTGTTTCATCTTGTTCATATGGCAATAGGGATTTACGACTTACGCGGAGAGGAGAATTGTGGAGGTTTGTCAAGGAGCGGATAGAGCTACCTTGAACATTGGCATTGGTTGGAGAGGTTTAACTGATGAAATGGAAAGGTTTAAAGACAACTTGGAGTGCACTAAACTGTGGAACAAACAAGAAGGTGTTGATCCAGATGATGTATATTCTCAGGTCCCATATGAGAAAGGCTTCCAGTTTGTGTTGCGAATTGAACGCCAGGTTAGTTGAGTAGCTGCCTCCACTTGGGTGTTTTCTTATGTAATGTTACAGTACTGATCATGTATTTACTGGGAAACTTTCAGGTTGGAAGGACTGCTTTTGACGAATTCCTCAAGAAATACATTGCTACTTTCAAGTTCAAGTCAATCGATACAAATACATTTGTTGAATTCCTGAAAGCAAACATCCCTGGCATAGAAAAAGAGATCAACCTACAGCTGTGGACTGAGGGCGTTGGTATACCAGAAGATGCATATGAACCAGTCTCAACCATTTACACAAAGATCATATCTCTGGCTAAAGAGTTCAAGGAAGGAAGGATGCCAAGTGAGGAGGAAGTTGCTGAGTGGAACGGACAGGAATGGGAGCTGTACTTGGAGAATCTTCCTAAATCATGTGAACCTTCTCAGGTACCCTTTACGCTTCCTTTCTTCCTCTAGGATAATGGAAACTTGGTAGGTGCATATGAAGAGAGAAAGAAATTCAGCCAACGTCTATCAGCTTAATTAACAGTGGGTTAGCTCAATAGTTAAATTAGTACAAGTAGAGGTATCGGGCGATTGAATGTTTGTGGAAAAGGCCTATTGGCTTTGGGAGAGGTTAGTGATTGTGAAGGGCGGCTTAGCTTTGGAAGAGTTAGGGGATCTCTTCAACAGTTCTTGGTTCTTTTGTTAGGATTTGAACTTGTCTTCCTGTTTGTAATCGACAATGCAAGATCAATAAAAAAAAGGATCGGGAATCAGGTTCCAAACCTAGTCACTAACGCCCAGTTTGTTAATTGGTGAATCACAGGTCATGGCCTTGGACAAGCGTCACAGACTAGCAGAATCGAAGGACTACGAAGTGAAGGTCTCGTTCCTGCAACTTGCAATCTCATCCAAGTGCAGAGAGTACCATGGGGAAGTGGAGAAAACTCTAAAAGCGGTAGGAAGGATGAAGTACCTGCGTCCACTCTTCACTGCTCTTGCACAAACTGGTGAAACCGAAGAGAAGCAGCTAGCGAAACGTGTTTTCGCAGAAGCTCGAGCAACTTACCACCCCATAGCACAGGGAGTGGTCGAGTCCATCCTCTCAAAGTACATCTGAACAAAACCCATATCTTATAATATAGCTTTTGAGAGCACTCCAAAAAAACAAGATTTCAAATAAAACCCAAAATGACTGTAATAATTGTTGCTCTAGTCATAAAACAAATCGAATTGCTTTTTCCGGGTAAATTTCAAGCTATGCATTACTCTCATCTTCCAACTTCTTGATATAAGCTTTGAGCACCATTATAACCTCAATTGCTGGTGCTTGTAAAGTAGAGACGAGGTTAATGGCCGGACTTTGCAAAGCTCCGAGCAACTTAGCGTAGACCTCAGCACGAGTAGGCATTGTCTCTAGGACTTTGAAATTGTCAGGAGCGTAGAACTTACCTTCGAAGACAGCACCTGCGAAGTCATTGTCCTCAAGCTTGCGTTCCTTCTGGAAACTCCGGTAGGGTTTGATAGCGGAAGGGATTTCATCGGTTTGAACAAAGAGCCAAGCGTTCATGCCTTTCATACAAGGCTTAAGAGCTTCCCATTTAGTGCCTTCGATGGCTTTGAAGACCAAAGTGTTCTTAGCGACAACGAGTTTGGTTGTGTCGGGGAGAGTTCTCCGGAGGTCTTGGAATTGCTTGACGGTTAGGCCTTTGTAGTTGATTGCGGCGAGGAGATGGCAGTTCTCGAGGTGGGACTTGACTGTCTCGACTGTTTCTTCCTTTTTGGTGCGAGACACGGCGGATCTGATGGCCGGGAGGAGATGACGGTGGTTTGGGGATGATTTGGGGGTTTGGGGTTTTAGAGATGAGATTCGGTTGTGGCAGAGAGGAGACAAGGAAGAAGAGAATGAGAGAAGAGCGACTTCCATTTTTGCTCAGAAGAAGATGAGGAGACTGACTGTGTTTGTGTGTGGATGGAGGAAGGAAGGAGATAGAGAACAAAGCAAATCTCTTTAAGTTTTTTTTTTTTTTTTCAATTCATTAGAAAAATTGACGGAACTATCAACTCCGTCTAGTTGGACCCGAGTGGTACCGGGTCGTGAATTAACCGGGCGGTTCAGGCCGCTTTTTTTGTATAGCCTGGTTTTGAAGTAGGATCAATTGGTTGAATAACCCAAAAACAAAATGTTATCTAATAATCTAACTAAAAACTCCTAAATTTAGTGATTAAAATTTGGCCACATTGGTACTTTTTGGTAGATTATTAGATGTGTTTTTTTTATAGTCATTCATGCCAATTTCCGACGCAATCATAATATTTTGTTATAATCCCTTTAAGTTTTATCACATTACACATCTTTTTTTTTTAGAAATGCGAGTATATAAAGATGTGTCTTTACCATCTAACTATCACCTAACGATTTCTTGAACAATGTATCAAAACAAGATTTCATAATTTACTCTTGAGTTTATAATTTAACCAGGAAGAAAAAAAAATGAAAAGAAAGGAAGTAGAAGGTAATAATAAACTTTTGCTTTTGATGTATGGTCTCATTCTTTATACCTATTGGTTTGTTGTGTCTTGTGGATGTGAGTTTAGAGAGTGTCCCAATTAGGGATATTGGCAGTAGCTTCATTCACCATCTTCACTAGAGT